AAAAGAAAAAGAAAATTCCAAACAAACAAACACATGATCATGTGATAAAATATATTGGATGATATAAACATCGATCTTAAGTGTATGATATATGTGTCTGCTTTGAAATTAAGTCAAGTTTTGTCTAGTAAACAAAATTTATTCCAGGAAATTAATGTGATTACTCAAAAGTCCATATATACATAAGCAACCCCAAAAAGATAGAAAATGAAAATTCCAAACAAAATCGATAACTTCCTTTTTACACAATAAGCTTTTTACTCATCTCATCTCACGCGGAAAACACATCCATTCCCAGAAACTTGTCAAAAGTGTGTTGTGCGGCAACAGTCATAAAATAACGCAAACCAAAAGAGCCGTCAACTTTTCCCATATATTCTTATGCCTGCAAAGCCTGCACATATATACATATATTTATGTTCCTTTTGTTTATTTGTATTTAAATTTACTATGTTTTTTAAAAAAATATTCTCTCTGTTCCAAAAAAAAAGTCTATATTGATTTTTGAAATTTACACTAAGATTAGTACAAATCTTAAAAATTAATGTGAATTTTTTTTTTGAGACAAAGATTGTAGTAATATTATGATTTGTGAATTCTTTTACATGAAAATATTAAAATCTCTTTGAACTTGAGAACAAGCGAAAGACATTTATTCACACATTTACGTTTGCAAATCATATTAACATATTATTATTATCGATTTGGTTCAAAATAGAACAATATAAGAACTTATATGATTTTTCATGAGACAATCAGTTTAGGACGGAATCACAGCGGGGCAGATGTGGAACTACAAAAATCAAAGTGGTGGCTTTTAAATATACTTTTGGGATGCCTGCCTTTAATTCAGTTTTTCCATATCCAACGTTTTTTGAAAGCCTTTTTCCGAAAGTGACCCCTAATTTAAGGTTCTTCCTTTCCCCGATCAGATTCCTTTTTCATTTTCTTCCCTAAACCGACTACTTCTTAAAACACTCTATAAATACACCCGAGTTTTTAATCGTACATATCACAGATATATTTCCTTGTTATTTCTCTCTGGGTTTTTCTCTGCAAATTTCCATCGATCCGAGGAGACGACCACGACGACCACGAAGAAGAACGTAGATTGGAGCCAATTCGTCGTCGCCACATCAGCATTCAGGACAGCCAATTAATCCTCTTCCCGGTACGCTTTCTTCTCATCTCATTAACGTTAAATTACGCGTTCTGCACACGTCAGCATCCGTTTCTTCTTCTTCTTTTTTTTTTTTACTATATTTTTTTTCTTCATTCGATTATTTAATTTGCTTTCTCAATTGGTTTATTGCATTTTTTTTTCAAAAGAAATAAAAAATGGTTTGCAATTAGGACTTACTTACTAGCTAGCCTCCCTTTGTTTCTTAAAGCAATCTCATTGCGTTTGTTTGAATTTTTCTAAGTTGCTTTGCACGTATGAGAGTATATGATACGACTTTTTGTGTTTCAAAATGAAAGCCATGTATGGCATTTTTTTTTTCTTAAAAAGAAAAACTGAAATCCTTTTTTTCTTGGACGGGAGTAGTATTTTTTTTATATTTAATTTAGATGCAATCGAGGTTGTGCGGGCCTGATTTTATCATTGAAATACCCGATTATAATGCATATGCGATACAAATAATAATTAATTTTGGCTGTTTGTGAACGTAACTTTGTGCATTAAGTTTTAGTGGGAGCAGAATGTTACTGCTAGAATTTACGAGCATGCGAAAAAATTTAATCATCGCTCTTTTTTTTTCCTTTTAAGAAAATGTTATTATCGCGACCATAATTCCTTACTAACGCTCAATTCCCGTCCAGTGATATGTAAAATGAAGTATTATACTCCTCCAATTTTTTAATTGATTATTTTTCATTTAAAAAATTGATTATTGTTTTAATACATCAACTATGAGTCTATGACAATTATTTCAGACAAGTTACTCTCCCTTTGCTTGTTTTAAAATTGTTTTTAGCCAAGTATATCAATCTGGATAAATGACGTGGATTAAGAATTTATCAAGGGATGATGAGCGATTTATATTCATTACGACATTCCTAAAATTTCACCATAGAGTTTTCGGAGTATGGCTTTTCAATTACATAATGATTTTGATGGATCAAATTGAAGCGTACGATAGTAGGCATTTGAAGAAAAGAGAGTCAATTCTTAACCCACGAAATGAGTGACTTTCTTTTTCAATAATAAATTTTAATACAATAGACATGGCAATAATTCCAAAACAGAAGGTGGGCACACTAAATATAATACGTAATTAAAACCTCATCTCGTATTATGCCGGCATAACTACCATTTCTATGATTTTTGTTGTCTTTCAATGCTAAATTCTTGTAAAAATATTTAGATTATGGCTATATCGGTACTATATCAAGTAAAGAGAGAGAGGTTCTTGTTTATGGACTGATCGTTCAGGTGCTGCCCCCTTTTTTTCTTTTTTTGTTCTTTTTCCCAATTTTCATTTGTAAAGCGGTAATTTAAAATTTTGAATTCCATTTTTACGCGATAATTATATTAGGTCTCATACTATTATCTAATTATCTAACCCAATCCTCCTACTTATAATAGTGATAGGTAATATGTATTTATCTGTCTAATCAATCAAATTTGTTTTTAATACTTATTTTTTCGGTGCCATAAATTAATCAGAAAGGTTTTTTTTTTTTTTTTTAAATGATTAATCAGAAAGTTGCTTACTTACTTTGTCGTCTTTCTTTCCATAATTTCATGTATAGCTATTTGCTCAAAGCTGGGCTAACAAGAAGGGAATACTGCTTTGTCGTCGTTAAATTCAAAAACAAAAACAAAAAGGTTATGTTAGAATAAAATCAAATCTGCATTCGTCCTCATTAAGCATTTTTTTTTAAAAAAAATTATTATTATTATTGGTTATTATTTCTTTTTCTCCTCTTTTTTTTTCCTTTTTTTTGTTAACTGGGTTGGGGTTGTCCGAATTTGAATAAAAAAAACTGGGTTGGGGTTGTTGAAATGTTTTATTGAAGTGTAATTGGAAATTTTATATGACAAAATTGCATGACACTTGGGTGGTGGGAAGACATATAAAATTGTATCACTAATTTCAATCACTTTAATTTAATGTGACAGGTCGATATAGAAAGTTTCCAAATTTGAATGTGCCCTTTAACAACTCATCAAATTCACAATGAATAACCACCAGTCTCCTAACCGCAAACTGTATACTCTGTGACAATAATCCTTTCTAATATTATCCTCGAATGGACCGACTATTGTTTCATTGTGCGATTTGTTTGATCTGTGTCTAAGGATTGAGCATACTTCTTGAAATTATCTTCAAAATTTTGTATAACATTTTCGCTACCAATAACCACCTATAATCATGGTTATCGTTCTTAGAGTTTCGGTCTGAAAAATCCAACTAGCATTACTCGAACGTGCCTGACCTATTTGAAAAAGAATTAGTTTTTATTGTGTTAGTGCTTTTTTTTTCACGATAAAAGAGGCAATAGTCTTTGAGTTTCTAATTTATTACAGCATGTTGGATGAAATACCAATTACATCAAGTGGTGACTGAGGTTTTAAAACTGATGGTGGTTCATCTAGTCATTGAAATCCACCCAGGTTTGGCAGAATTAAACTTGCTAAAGAGTCTGCAGCAAAGTGCTTTTGATCACTCTCTCACGGTTTTTGGAGGGGGGAAACACAATCAAATAAAAGAGCCCATTATGATGGACCAAAACAAACAATTTTCAATTCAAATGGCTAAAAATCACACTAGTTAGGTTGCGAGTATGTTCATAAATTTTTCCTAAGTCAGAAGACTTCGAAACAATGTTGTTAAGCTCGGTTCGGATCGGCCGGGTCAATCGGTTAAACGGTACTCGAACCATATGCCGAACCAAATTACTTAAAAATTCACTACTTCAGGATTGAGTCAAAACCAGTCAAAACTCCGAGCGAACCGAAAACTGGTCAAACCTGGGTCTACTCGGAGTTTTTGGTTTTTGCACAATTAGATCAATTTTTTAAAACTTTTTTCCCTTGGACTCCGTGTATTTCTTTATCTTTCTGGTCTAAATCTTTGTCTTTTATTCTTAAATGGCCCAACAACTTTTCTTCAAAAAATTAATTTATCATTTTAGCCCCAAACTTTTCACTCCATATTATAAGACACCATTTTTATCAAAGAAAAATCTTGTTTATTATTTTTCTCACATATGAACCTCCATTGTTTTGTTTAAAATTTAAAATATATCTCAAATATATTAAAATTGATTTTTATGTTATAAATTTTATTAATACTAAAAGTTAATTATCTTATAAATTTATAAATTTCATTACTAATATTTAATTTATCAACTGTTAAACTAATATACTTATTTTAATCTACAATTAAATTCTTCAAAGTAATATTTTTTAGTATTAACATAGAAAAAGATACATAAATAATAAGTTTTTTTAATATTAATATATAATAATTATATATTTTTATTACGTCGTAATGACGTCATCCGAGTCGACCCTCTGAGTCGACCTGAATCGATCCCTAAAACTCCTGACTCCTATCCTTGCCGAGTCGGTGTCCGAGCCGAGTCTGACAACACTCCTTCGAAGTAGTTCGTGGTCCGACAACAATGGTGACATATACGTGCTCATTGTTGTAATAATAAGTACACAATTTTTTATTTTTTATTTTTGGTTTTTTTTGTTTTTTTGTCTTTGCTGCCTTTTGACAGCCAGACTGTTTCTCAATTTTTCTGTGTCACTGACGAAGTTGCCTTAGAATGGCGGGTATGTTTCTCTTTAAAGATCCACCAGTTTATCGCCCATACTTAGTAACTACTTCTATGATTCAGTCATTATGGTCTATATCTCTGACAAAAGTGACGAATCCAGAAACCTTGGTTTTAGATTGATCCCAACATTAAATTTGTTTCTCTGTGTTGTTCTATGTTCAGTCCATTTTGAACCAATTCTTTTGTCGCATTATCAATCCTCTTTCAGCTACTAAATATGGACCACGTACGATAGGCTCTGTCTTGATGATTCTCAAACACATTGAATCAATCAAGTATATAAGATTCTAGACCTTTTCGTTCTTGATTAATAGGTCTTTGAGTTGAACTAGAACCAATTATGTTGTCATACGTAATAAATCTCAATCAATGAGTCTTTGCCTTCTTTTGGTGTCTTCTTTTTAGCAGTTTTGTCACTTGTACTATTATGCAACCAGCTGATAGCCGAGTTTTAGCGTAGCAGGTGAGACTCATTGAACGGCCACCACAAGAAATCGTTTCAAATTAGAACCGGGATTTGATGCAGAAAAGAGTAACAAAGTTAGGTTCATGTTTTTGATATGGAATCAATCATGGCAAATAATGATGTCACACTATTAGTACACCTTTGTGCTTTTGCATTCTTCAAAAATTGTATGTAATTAAATGCTTGTCCTTTCTCTTCTCATTCATAATATTTCTAGAACTGATGTGCTAAGTTGGCCAATTGATTTTTCCTAATGTGCAAAACAATGTTTCAACTACTCTGCTTCATTTACTTGAATGGATTAGGTATCAGCTATAAACCAGTTCAGTTTAAGCTGAATTGAAGTTGATCATTAATGTTGTTGGAGACTTTTGCCTCCAAAACAGGTCTACCCTGATCAACTGCTTGTTAGTCTGAATGCGATATGTGACTACTTAGGATTGTCAATGTCAAATTGACCACCAGAAGTGCAAACATGGTTTCAATTGAGACTTGACAATATAAGTTGCAACAAAATGATTGTCTCTGTATCCCCCCCTCAATAATTCATTCATTTACAATAGTTTATTTTTAAGTTTATATCTCAGTATGGGATAGCTTTTCCTTCTTCTTCTTCTTTTCATTTTTTATATTTTTTGTTTTTGTTTTTATAAATCCCCAAAACAGATGGTAGTACCACAGCTCGGGACTTTATCTTACATCAAACAAGCAACATTTATTTATTGATATTTGATACATGTACTGGTGCAGGGGGCAATGGTAGAAGAGATGAAGCCAAGGCCTGTTCTAACAGCACCATTACTGCTAGACGGAGAATCTGATAACAATTACAGAGCTCCTAATGTCCTTAGACGTGTATTAAGCCTTCTAAACAATGTACGATCTGGATCCGATCTTACTCGCTTTCAGGTTTGTCCATTTATCATTCCCTTAAAAGTTTCTCTAACATGCATCATCCGACTGTAGTGGAGTGTAATTTTAATGAACCAAGATCAAGAAAATGATATATAAGGTACTGCAGAAACCATGAGAGGGATGACTCCAATTGATAATAATGGTCTTTGCAGACTATGATTCTAAGTAGGAGGATCTCTGTACTTCTATGCCTTTTAGGGGCCGTGCTTGTCTGGGTTCTTTCTTTGTTTTTATTGTTTTGATTCACCACTAAAACAATAAATGAAATGCCAATATAGTCCTCCTTGTTAATGCCCTTTTAGAAATGCTGTTTTATCTGATTCATCCGAAAGAGTGTGCCTAATGCGTGGTATGGAATCAATTTGATCTGATGTCAAATTTTAAAAATACAGCAGTCAAGGGATCAGACACATTTATGTTTGGATGTTGTGTTTTTAACCATTAATAGCTTTCTGTTGTGTTCATAAACTGATTCTATCTTTATGACTTCAATATGATCAGCTGCCTCCTTCGTTTAACCTTCCCAAGTCACAACTTCAATGCTATGGTGAATCAGTTTATAGCTCTCGAGGCAATTTGTTAAGTAAGTGTGCCAATGGAGAGAGTCCGCTGGAGAGGTTTCTATCTGTTGTAGCGTGGAGTATATCTACAACACGACCTCTCATGTTTGGAGTAGCTCCATATAATCCAATTCTTGGAGAAACTCATCATGTTTCAAGAAGCAATTTGAATGTCTTACTTGAGCAGGTACTTAATTAATTATGAAATTCTCACAATCCTACCAGCCTACTAAGTAGATTTCAAGTAGCTTGCACAGCCGCAATTAGCATGCACGCGGTAGATTTCACGAAACACAACATGTTTGAATGATCAATGAAACAAATACAAGCAGTTTGGGACAAATTTTTCAGCACAAACTTAATATTATTTACAGAAGGCTTCGCATAAGCCTTTGCTAGATGTTCCACCATTTGAAGGAAGAGTAGATTTATGTAGTTAATTCAAGCATCAATCTTCTGTTCGTAGGTTTCGCATCATCCACCAGTTACTGCCCTTCACGCCACAGATGAAAATGACAACATTGAAATGATTTGGTGTCATCATCCTGTTTCCAAATTCCATGGTATGGCATATGATTCTCCTAACCTTAATAATGATTCTGTGATGTGAAACATTGAGGTTTGAAATTTGCCACTCAAATTCAGCATTTCATAATGGTCGATGTTCAAGAAGAATGTATGGTTAAATCATTAGTTATATAATGGTACTCTGTTGTATTTTCAAGGTACTTATATAGAAACTGAAGTACATGGAAAAAGGCAGCTGAAGCTTCTGAACAATAGAGAAACTTACCTAATGAACTCCCCAAAGCTTGTGATAAAGTTCCTGCCCTTGATAGGTGTAGACTGGTTGGGGGATGTCACGATCAAATGTGAAGAAACCGGACTCACAGCAGTGTTATTTTACAAAGGCAATTCAATTTTACCTCGTGTCGCTAATCATAGGGCTATTAAAGGAGAGATTTTTATGGCATCCTCACCATCAAGGACAATATACGAAATCAATGGCCACTGGGATAGGTATTCTTTTACTTTTATGTTCTGTACTTCAGTGTATCGCTTTCCATGTTTTTTGTGCTATTGGTAGTACACCTAAACGTCGCCAACATTTCATGCTGTGTTTGAAGATTGAAAACATGGTAGAATCAACTAACTCGATTTCCATAAACTTGTTCTTATTAATGAGTAAGCAGCATATTGGGGCCTCTGTGATGAAAACTAGTTTTAAACTTACCATACCTGAAACCTAAAGAAATATCGGTGCAAGATGGTAACATCAGTACATCACTATGAGGATTGAATCACTTCATTTGGTGTTCTTGAGTGTCATTTAGATAATTGATAAACTTCTTCCCTCATTTACCTTGCAGAATTGTTACAGCCAGGGATCCTAGTAGTGGAAAGTCAAAGGTCATTTACAATGCAAAAGAAGTATTGTCCGAAGTGAAGACTCCCATTGTTAGGGAATCACAGGTAACCAAGTTCTCCCTCGTAGCATTCTTGTAGCTTCAAATTTTTGGAATTACCACTCTTCTTGAAATTTGAATAGAGTTAAACGTACAGTCTAACTAACAGAACGTCAATGTAACAACCTTTCATATGCTAATTCAGTGTGTGAAGTTTCAATGCTGATCATCACAATCTTTTGACCAGGGGATCTTACCTAGTGAATCCACAGTTGTGTGGGGTGATGTGAGCCAAGCCATCCTAGATAAATGCTGGGAAAAAGCAAAGGAAGCCAAAAGTGCCATTGAAGGAAGGCAAAGAGAGATGGTGAAGGAAAGAAACTCAAAAGCCGAAAATTGGGTCCCTGAACATTTTACAGTTTCTTACAGTAAGGAGAGCGGATGGGAATGCCAACCAAATCAGAAGTTGGTTCCACCAGCACCCATTATAGTTCCTGAATCATTCAATTGAAGCCAGTCAATCACTTTAGACTAAAAACTCGTAATCTTTACCAACCGATCCACTGAGCTACATGGATTAGTACATAAGAAGATCTTTTGGTAGACATTCATCACAATTTCGGATCGTTGTAAATCCTGCTTGTTTCTTTGATCCAACGCTGATGAGAAACTCCGCTGTTGTATGTTGTAATAGTATTTTCACTTGGAATGTAAAGCTTTCAAATACATTTTCATCTCATAGAAGACTAATCACAGACATTGAAAGAGCAAGCACAAAGCAGGTTTTCCAGAGGGTGGATGAAGATTGAAACTATATATCTACATCAATATTTCAAAGTACACAGAATCCCTCTAAAACCATTGAAAAAATTCCTAAAATAGCACTAAACTAACCTATATGATAGAGAACACAATCCGGGAAAATCATACAACAGGTTTTAGGCATGGTTTTGTAACATAGAAACTATCTAGAATCCTAAAACCTTTCCGGGGGTCCTAGTTGACAGGTACAAATCTTGATGAATGATGGATTTTATCCATGATTTCCAACCCCTTTTCTTGTAAATCAGATTCACTTCTTCTGTTGAATGATCTTTCCCTGATGGTGGCCAAAATCGGCTTCCAGGACGGCGATTTCGAACAGGTATGCATCATCATCACATCATGCTCATTTTCAGCACTAGTAGAACTAGTCTTCATAGCTCTACCTGGTGATCTCCAAACAGGGCTAGCATCAGCACTGGCTGCATTATTATTATTACTATTATTCACTGACTCAACTTTTGGCTTATCCCTTTTGGCCCGATTACTCAGCTTCCTGGCTATGGTGACCAAATCCGCCGGCGAGAAATCGGATTGGAAAAACGAATATGGAAGCAAGAAATATATCTTCCCTGGTTCAAGATATGTGGTTGGCAACAGAGGCTTTGAACAAGGAGAAAGAAGCTGAGATTGTAAATATACAAAATGCTTTGGTAATTTGGCTGTGAGTTCACTCACTGAAACAGGGTAATCAAACTGTTCTACAGAGCCATTCAATTGAACCACTTTTACAATTCTGCAAGCTGATGAAGATGAAGTTCTTGTTGAAATTGAGCAACCCATTTCTCTGAAAGTATTTTTTTCTTGATTTAGACCATTAAATGGTTTGAAAAAGGAAGATGATTGGGTTTAGTCTAGAGTTGAAGATAAGGGATATATATATATATATATATATATATATATATATATATTACTGTTTTTAAGAAGCAAAATGAGTTAGCTAACTGCTTCAGGCCGAAAAAGTCTTCGGCAATTTATGAAAAAAGTCTCTTTCTTTTTGGCCCATTTGCTGGAGTCTACAACTTGCCATGCATTTACAACACGTTAAGAGAAAAGGTTAGGGGTTGACTTAGTTTCGCCATTTTACGTTATTGCATATTAACCGTGTCTACGTGACTCAAACAGTATACACATCGCCTTAAAACGATATTACAATCGTTTTATTCATAGGTCCACACAATTAAATTAAACTTGCTGGATTAGTTTGATATATCGGTCTGTGCTCACTCCAAATTATCGCATGTTTCCAATATACAAAAAATAATTAAATAGATGGAGAGCGACGGCTGCTCATTGACTAAGGCGTCTGATCTACGGTAGGACATGTATGATTGACGAATAGAAATTATTGAGTTCATTTTTGAGATTTATTAAATAGGATTATATAGCCATCAATTGACAGGATCTTTACCTTCAAAAAATTTTTTTAAAAAAATACTAACACAGGATCTTGAATCTTGATAAACTATTTCAACGGGAGCATGAATGTGTCATTAGATAATTCTTCTTCTTTTTGTTCTTAATGTATATTATTTCACCTACTATTTGAAATTATTCTACGTTTAATCTGAATTCGATGAATGATGTGTGGATACGCTCACTGGCTGCTCTCGTAAAATTGACCTACTTTTCTTTCGTGGGCGTGGGAGTTGGGGGGTGAGGCCGAATAGACATAGACAAAGACAAAAATATAGATTATTTCTTCTTCCACACAACCTTTTTCAACTTTTCTTTCCTTTCCGTATTTTAAATCAAAATAATGTTCGACTAGGACATAAACACCCAAGTTGGAGCGTGTAGCTCGTGGATGGAGTCTTTCTTTAGTTATTACGTATCCCCTCCTTATAAACTCATTTTTGGGGAAAAGAAGAAGAAGAAGTTCAACTTGATTGGTCCCCAAAGTTTGGGGGTAGTTCAGGTGAGTCACCTATTTTTTTTTCCTTAACAAAATTAGTCACCTAAAACATGAACTACGTCAATTTCAGTTTTTTTAACAGATTTTTTTCACAACTTAACAGAATACTCATATGATCTGACCTTTCTATTTGTGGATGCCCGTCACTGCATCATTTACCTACAATCAAAAAGCATCCACATCATCTAACTACAATCAGGAAGCATCTAAATACCAAAAGCGAAACACCGTATAGTATACAGTTGGACCAAAAATTGCAGGAAGCATACTCTTCAACCTTATTGAGATTCTTGAATCAAAATAAAATTGTATTGAAGAATTCGATAGAGGTTAAAGCTACGAAACCATCTTTTTCCTCTGAGGGTAAAGAAAAGATTATAAAAAAGAAGAAAGTATGCAACAAACAATTGTTTCAATGCATACAATTGTACTTGTGAATTTGTACACGAAAAATTATTTAAAAAAAAAAAACCCTCACTGCTGCATTTGAAAAGGTTCAAATAAACGAAGATCTTCAGGCAAAATAAAAAAAGCAACAAACTCATGCAAATAAAGGTGGCATATAAATAGTTTGAGAACTAAGCAAATTACCATTACAGCCACAAACACATATAACTTCAATATTATTGAATTCATGCATAATCGAAAATATCCGAGCATCAGCGGATTGTGTATGAATCTGCTAAGAACACAACTTCGCCTATCACTTCACTAAATTTTTGAGAATCCCACAAGCACCAGAAGCTACTTCTAATGGTTTTGTTGATGGTGAAGCATCTACTGCCCCTACAAAAGATGCCATTGCCAATGGCTCCACTCCATCATCTACTGATGAAGCAGCTGCTGCGCCCATTGATCAGCCTGTTCAATAATTTACCAATTGGAGTTAGTCTATAATTCACCATCCACATTTTTTGTGTTTATGACCTTCATTACCAAGATATTATTTATATGAACCCTAAGAGTAACAGTCCAACTCAGAAAAGAAAAATTCAGTACCTCTTTTCATTTTTTTTGCCCAACCAATAATAAAAAACATATCTTTCTCTGAAAATCTATATCCCAGAAACAAAATTCAATAATTCAATCAGAAAAAAATTTATTCCAAAATGCCAAAGACAGTCCTAAGGAAGGTCCTGGACAAATCAAGGTCAGAAAAACTGCACCTGAATAGAATCAAATAAAAATAATGAAGATAAAATTAATTAATTGCAGAGAAGTAGAAAAATAGCTTTTACTACCAACCTTGGGAAATTAGAATTAGAACTTTAAGCAACAGTTCTATTTTTCTCAATTAAGCAAAATAAAAATTAGAACTTTACCGGAACTGAAAGTCTGTTGACCGTTAGAGACTCAAATTCCTCTTTAGCAGACGAACCAATATTAGAATCAGCGGCGGAGGCGACCGTCTTAGTTGTGTCACGGGCTTACTTTTTCAAAGTAACAGTCGTGCGGCACTAGTACAAAACAACTAACGGTCAAGTGCTAGCTCAGCCTTAAGACCCCCAAAACGTGCAAAGCTAGGCAAGGCCTTAAAGAACGGAGGCAAAGAAAAACTTAAGAAAGGTTGAAAGTGAAAGAACGAAGAAGGTACAAGAGAGCTTAAGGAATACTTGAGAACTCTACTCAAAGCTTGGATGGATTACAAATGAAGGGGGCATGGGGTATTTATAGGCAAACCCCAAGTCCCAAAGAATTCTAGAGAATTCTATGTACATAATAAAATAATAGAATTCTAGAGAATTCCTACCATAAAATATTCTAAGTCCAAAATATTTACAAGTCTCTGGAATCCTCCACACGGCTCTAGCAAACTCGGGTAGCTTCCACACGGTTCTACCCGTTTCTAGAGAGTTCCGGGCCTCTCTAGAGAATTCCGGAGTCTTCAAGATTTGACCGGAGAATTCCACAAGGCTCTAGACCGTTTCGTCCCATGTCCGTCTACGAAAATAGCCTGTTTCGCAGCAAACCACCCGAATTCGTGGGGAAGAAAAACTGTCCGTGACATCCTCCCCCACCAAAACGGTGCATTGCCCCGATGCACCCAAGTCTCGAAGGCAATGTTGATAGGAACGGGTGCACGATTCTCCTCAAAGTCCTCGATCAATTTGGTGAATTGCCAAAGCTTCTCGATTGGCTCCCAACTCGTCTCACTCATTGGCAAATTCTTCTATTTCACCAAGTATTCTTTAGTCGCTGCCCCGCACTTGCCTCGAACAATCCTCTTAGAAAGGATGTCCTCTGCGGTCCGTTCCTCATGCTTGCGTACGCCAGCTGGTGCCCTTGAGGAAACGTTCCGTTCTTCATCCTCTGGATCCTTGCGGTATGGCTTAAATAGGCTCACATGAAAGACTGGATGAAGCCTTGAAAAAGCCTCGGGTAGTTCCAGCTTGTAAGCAACCGAACCCACTTTCTTAAGAACGGTGAAAGGACCCTCGTATCTGCGCATGAGACCCTTGTGTAGACCACGGCTCCGTCCATGCTCATAAAGCTTCACCAAGACTTGGTCGCCTTCTTCAAACTCGCGACGGGTCCGTTTCTTGTCCGCCCATTTCTTCATGCACGCGGCTGACTTCTCCAAGTAGAGTTTTGCCTCGTCGGCCCGTTCTTGCCAATCTTTGGCAAACTTGTATGCGGGTGGGCTATTGCCCATGTAGCCCCCAAGAATGTCCTTAGGCGTAGTCGGTTGGAAACCAAGGACAATCTCAAACGGAGTTTTGCCCGTGCTCTCACTCCGCATCAAGTTATAGGAAAATTGGGCAACGTCTACCAAACGTACCCAATCTTTCTGGTTGGCTGCCACATAGTGCCTAAGGTACACCTCCAAGAGGCCGTTGATGTGCTCCGTTTGCCCATCCGTTTGCGGGTGCAAAGATGTAGACATCTTGAGCTCCGTCCCAAGCAAACGAAAGAGTTCTTGCCAAAAACAGCCGATGAACCTTCAGTCCCTGTCGCTTATGATCGATGTAGGCAGCCCCCAATACTTCACCACATGCCTAAGAAAGAGTTTGGCCGTTATCTCCGCGGTGCACTCTTTTGGGGCGGGTATGAAGACCCCATACTTAGACAAACGGTCTACCACAACAAGTATGTTGGTGCAACCCTCGGAAACGGGCAGGCTCACGATGAAATCCATCGAAACGCTGTCCCATGGGCGTTTCGGAATAGGCAAGGGTGATAACAAGCCATGCGGGTGGTCTTGCTCGGTCTTGTCTTGTTGGCAAACTAGACAAGTCCTTACATATGTCTCCACGTCTTTGCATGCGAGGCCAATAGAATCGTTCATGTACTAAGGCAAGTGTGCGATGCGTACCTGGGTGACCCGCATAACGGCTATCATGGCAATCCCTAAGAATCTCCCTTCTAAGTCCATCCCATGCGGGCACGTACAAACGGTTCCCCTTGGCATAAAGTATCCCATCCTCAAGCCAGAACTGCGTTGTCTTGCCTTCCTTCACGAGCTCCATGAACCTTTGGGCTTGATGGTCGTGTTCAAGACCCTTCTTGATGCGATCGACCAACATCCCCTCGGGTATGCTAACGATTGGTGCAAGACACGCCTTTCGGCTTAGGACGTCGGCCACGTGGTTAGTCTTCCCCGGGCTATACTGAAGCTCGTATTTAAACTCGGCCAAGAAGTCCAACCAACGTGCTTGCTTGCTTGAAAGCTTAGGTTGGCTTTGATGGTAGCTCACTGCCCGATTTTCCGTCTTAATCTTAAACGGTGTGGCGGCCTTCAGGTAGTGCTCCCAAACTCTAAGGCAGTGAACTATAGCCAACATCTCCTTCTCGTGCGTCGGCCACCTTTTCTCGGTCTCGTTTAACTTGCAGCTTTCATAGGCGATCGGATGACCGTCTTGCATGAGAACGCCCCCAATGGCGAAGTCCGAAGCGTCCGTGCACACCTTGAATGGTTTTTCAAAATTAGGGAGAGCTAGGACTGGCTCTCGAGTGATGGCGTCCTTTAAAGCCTCGAATGCTGT